TGCTTCTGATCTGAAACATCGTTGTCTTAACGTTTGTACAGGCCTATTTTCAAGGTCTTCAGAAAAAATTTTTAATTTTTAGAAATCTTTAATATGAAAAGTTAAAAATAGAATAATATCACGGACCATCACTGTGGACCTATTACCCAGCTTAAATAATTATGAACACATGGCCATATTTTCAGTATTACTGCCTCTCTCCCTCCCTCCCTCAATGTTTTACAACAAATCCCAGATGTTATATAAGAAATATGATAAATTTTTCTTCATATAGTTGTGTACATTTCTTATTAAGCTTATTCCTAGGCCTTTTATCTAACTGTTGTTCATTGTTTTTCTATAGGAAGATTTATTTCTGTACATTGATTTTGTACACTTTTGTTATTATTTAAATATTTGTTTGTGCTAATTTGAATTCATTGACTTCATTGACCCTTTATAATTTGCTAACCAGATTTCACCTGTATGCTCACATGGACTGTTAGAAATATGCTAAAATTCTAGGTATAAACTAGTGTAATAAGCTTCTAGTCTTGCACCAAACAACATATTTGTGACCTGAAACGTAATAACCAACCTGTGTAGTGACATGTCAAATTTACCTGGGATTCCTGTCCTGTAAGGTTCTCTGTTAATACCTGAAAAACTCAGGTTGTCTTCAGTTTCCTGTCACTTTATAATGTTTTTATGTGCAGTTGCTGGCCTCTATTCTTCCTGTAGACCTTAAAATCACTCCCTGATGTAAGTCAGTCCCTCAGAGAGGCACATAACTCTTCTGAGCCAGTAGGGAACCATTTCAGTCTTTTGAGTTCTTATGATAAGCACTGATCAGATGTATCAGGAATCACATTGTGGCATGAGCACTAATATTTTAGATAATTTCTAATGTAGCACCATCAGTATCCTGTGCTTTAGAACAGGATACTCTGAGAGTTTTTCAAACTCTCAGAGTTTTAACAGTCCCTTTGACACTTTCCTAATCACTTACCTGATTAAGCTGTTCTGCTAGTGTAGAGTCAGGGATTTGGGGTCTATTATATTCATTTCGGAAAACTCTAGTTGCCTGGAGTCTTTATCTCTCCCATAACCTGCCGCTGAAATGGCATATGGTTTTTCTGCCAAATAAGAATTTTCTTTTGGATGTCTCTGGTATTACATAGGGAAAAATTCTAGTTTATTCCAAATATTAAAGCAACTTTTCTTCAGAGAAAAGTTCTTTCCCCTACATTGCAATGACTTAGCTTACAAGACACTTTTCAAATGACAAACTTATCTGGATAGAGATAAATATATCTCATTAAAATATGGCTTTGAGGGAAACTGTGGAGACAGTTTTAATATGGCACATGATGATATCCTTGATGCCACATCATATGACCAAGTTACATGGCTACCATTATTTAAGGTAATAGTACCAGCCTCATTGAGTTCATATAGGAATTAGGTGAATTGATATATTTAAAGTGCTTGAACTTAAAACTAGCACCTAGCACATAGTACCCACTAGTGAGTGTTTGTTAAATACATAAAAAAGAAAATAAAACCTATGTACAGAGAAATGGACTTTCTTAAAATAGATCAAGGGAAAAACTGAAATTCTATAGTCTACTATAGTCTCTCTCAGCTCACTCTTGTTGAATTAACTTCCTTCCTGCATATATAGTTTCTAATTTGAACAACCTCTTTCATTTTAAAGATTCGCCGGTTCTCAGTCCAGCTAATTCTGCAATCAATTTAAGTGGAGCTCAGGACCTGACCTGGAATAAGAATGTTGTGAAGCCACTGGCTTTATCTTTGCAGGTTGTAGGGAAGACTTTTGCTGCAGGTGATGTTTTCCTCACTTATATATATATTTTTAATTAATTTAATTTATTTTTGGCTGTGTTGGGTCTTTGTTGCTGAGCACAGGCTTTCTCTAGTTGCGGTGAGCGGGGGCTACTCTTTGTTGCAGTGCACAGGCTTCTCATTGCGGTGGCTTCTCTTGTTGCGGAGCACGGGCTCTAGGTGCACGGGCTTCAGTAGTTGTGGCATGCGGGCTCAGTAGTTGTGGCACACGGGCTTAGTTGCTCCACGGCATGTGGGATCTTCCCTGACCAGGGCTCGAACCCGTGTCCCCTGCATTGGCAGGCAGATTCCTAACCACTGTGTCACCAGGGAAGCCCTCCTCACTTATATTTATTTGGTAAATACCTAGTCCATAAAAGACTTGTGTGAAATTTAATTGACCATTTGGTAGAAGAAAACAGAAGCTCTTTCTTCGCCAGTTGAAGGCAAAAGTGGGGCTGTCTACTATAACGCATTTTTATACAAAGCTTAGTGTTTTCTGTGTTACATCCAGAAGAGTCAGTGAATGACATTTGGCACACAGGGGAGACAAAGCAGGTTGATTCTGTTCAATAAAAATTTCTTGGATACCTGCTATACTGAGGAACTGGGGATAGATACTAAGATAAATAAGGCTCAATCCCTGACCTCTAATGTACTTGTAACCTTGCAGAGGAGATAAACCTAAAAGAAGATATTTTCAGTGGACTGCAATAAATACATAATATCCTAGGGGAACACAGAGGAGGGGGGGTTAGCCCAGCATTTTAGGGAGTAACCGAGAACGAGTTCTTGGGGACTTCCCTGGTGGTCCAGTGGTTAAGATGCTGTGCTTCCAATGCAGGGGGCGTGGGTTCAAACCCTGGTCAGGGAATAGGGGAAAGACATTTCAAATTCAGGGAAAAGCAGGAGCAAAGCTTGAAAGGAAAAGGAAAGGAAAGAAGCAGCATGACATGTGCAGGAACTTCCAGCAGTTTGGACTCATTAGAAACATATAGTGTAAAACTCAGGGAGCAGCAGGAGGTGAGCAAGAGGCAGAAAAGGGAAAGGTCATAGGAGGTCAGGATAAGTATGGATTTCACTCTATAACTTATGGCACAGGGAAGTGACATGGTCTTATTTTAACTTAAGCTAGATCATTTTGGCAGCAAAAGAAAGCGTTGGGAATACAAGTTGCAGGTCATTCAGTAGTCTGGGTGAGAAATGATGAGGTCCTTGACTAGGGTGAAAATAGGTTCGAGAGGAGGAGACAGATTTGAGAACTACTCAGGATATGAAATGAGCAGACTTGACTGATTAATGGGAGTGTGAAGCAGAAGAAGGGGTTTCAGTTGACGTCCATCTTTCTGGGCTAATGGTTAGTACCATTGCTTGAGATAGGGAATACAGCAAGGGGAGCAGGTTCCCCAGGAGGAGATTGTGAGTTCAATTTTGGACATGATGAGTTTGAAGTACCCATGAGGCATCCAAGTGGAGCTACTCAACGGTAATTTAATTTATCGTAGGGGGAAAGCAGGACTAATTGTATAAAGTTGAGCCACCAGCATATGGTTAAAATCACCACGCAAATAGTGTCAGCCAAGGAGAAATGTAGGGTAAGGCAAGCTATGAACTAAAGGCAGACCCGTAGAAAATTTCAGTGTTTAAGAAAAAGAAATGGTCAGAGAGGTAGAAGAAAAATAAAGAGAAAGAGAACCTATCATTCTTGGAAACTTTCCAATAGTTAGGTATTATAATTTATCCAGACCACTTTTGTTCTTACTCTGGTCCAACAATTCTTGCAGAATCTGCCTTCTGTTTAAATTACAGACTGGAACAAACTGGGTCCAAGTTTTTACAGCATAGAAGAAAAATTAATGAAATTATGGATCTTGGCAGTAATCATCATGATTGCTAAAACCATCAGATGAGAGGCTGATGAGCAACTTTGTAACTTGAAGATTAGACTGACAACTCTTAAACCCACTGATGAATCTTAACATCACAAGAAAAGAGAAAACTGGTCATTATGTGCCTCTTAATGGAAGTATACAATAGGACTTATGAGATACTCTTGCCAAAAAAAATCAAACTTGAATCTGAGCAAACATCTATATCTAATGATTAGTTTAGGAATTAGAGGAGACATCAAATGACACCATGGATATCCAATCAGCAAAATACAGGAAATGAGAAATTCTGCCAGGTTTTCAGCAAATTAATTTTTAGAAAGAAAAAGAAGAATTCTATAGATTAAATGAGGTTTAAGGGACATAGCAACTAAATTCAGTGTGTGGATATTTTTTGAACCCCAGTTTGAACAAGAAATGTAAAAAGCTATTTCTGAACTGATTGGGAGAAATTTGAATACTGATGGGATATTTGATATTAAGAAATTATTGATCATTCTTAATTTTAAGTATAAAAAAGATCACCATTATGTTTTTTAAGAGTCCTTTTCTTTTAGAAACACATACAAAAGTATTTATGGATGAAATGATATGACAAATGAGTTTGCTTCAAAATAATCCAGAGTCCGTATGTGTGTATGTGGATGGGGGGGAAAAGATAGGGAGTATAAATAAAGCAGGATTGGCCACATGTTGGTAAGTGTTGAAGCTGGGTGATGGGTACATAGTTTATATACCATTCTCTCTGCTTTTATATATGTTTGAAATTTTCCATGATAAAAGGTAAAAAAAAAAAGTTTTCTTTTCTACCCACCATCTCCAAAGACTTCACTGAAAATAATTCTAAAAGATCTCTTGGGGTCCTAGAAAATTATTATTATTATTATTTTTTTTTTTTTGCAGTACGTGGGCCTCTCACTGTTGTGGCCTCTCCCATTGTGGAGCACAGGCTCTGCACGCACAGGCTCAGCGGCCATGGCTCACGGGCCCAGCCGCTCCGCGGCATGTGGGATCTTCCCAGACCGGGGCACGAACCCGTGTCCCCTGCATCGGCAGGCGGACTCTCAACCACTGCGCCACCAGGGAAGCCCAGAAAATTATTTTGGGTGACATTTCATGTTAGTTAAAGTACTACTCTGATGGTTGTAGTTGGCTCTGTACAACTGGGCTGTTCCGTCAGTGGGATTTCTTTGAATCCTATGTGAGGTTTGTCATATGGTTGCAGCATCACAGAAAGCAGTGTCCTGCCCAGACTCTGTTCTGAGTGACTCCTCTTGTGTACCACAGATGCTGCTAATGGAAACAGTAGCCATGGAGGAAAGAGCAGTGCGTCTAGCTCCACTCCAGCCCGCCCAGGGAATTACTCTTTGTCACCAAGACCTAGCTTTGCCTCAGGAGACCAAGGTACAATACCCATCTTAGAGTTTTGAAATAACACTTAATTATGGAAGAAGTGCTCCAGAGAGTTTGGAATGATTCATGATCTGGCAGCACACTCCCAGTTTTTCCTTAGCTTCTCGTACAGTGTTTTGAAAATTTATGATTGGTATGAACAATTATGATTAACATATCTTGGTGATTCTACAAGGGTGGGCCTACCTAGGAAATAACATTGAAGCAAATATATAAGAAGTGTCTTGAAAAGCCATGGGCTTTGATGACCAAAGTACAGGGTTCAAAGTTCCTCTCTGTTGTGTGACTCTGGGTAAATGTGAGCCTTCCTTTCACCATCTACAGAATGGGTATAACAAAGTAGTTGTCCTACAACTTCACAGGGTTGTTGATAGAATCAGGTGAAATAATCTGGGTGAAACGGTACATTGTAAAACAGCCTGCAGACGTTAGTGCTGTTAGTGTGTGACTTTTTCTAACTTTATCTTTACCTCTAGAAAAGTGACTTCGACTTTCTGAGTATAATCATAGTAAAGGTCCTATGTTACTTTGGCTTCTTTCCCTTCTTCCATTACTAAGGACAAGGCTTATCTTTCTTTTTGTATTCAGCTACCATGTTCATTTCTGGACCACCAAAGAAACGACACCGAGGATGGTATCCTGGGTCACCTGTCCCCCAATCTGGTTTAGTTGTACCTATTCCTGCAGTTCGCCCTCTTTCAAGAACTGGTAAGATTTCAACAGAAGATGGGTTTTAAGTGTCCTTAAATTAACAAAGGTATCTGCTACTCTCGTTCTTTCCATGAACTCTTGAAAATAAATTTCCGTAACTAACTTTTGTGTCCAGTACTGTAGCAGCTAATATTTTGTCCCCATCACATCTGCCATCCCTATAAGCACATGTGCCATCACGAAAGATCTTGATTCACCATCTGCCTTTGTTTTACACTATAGTATCAATAAACCACTCTTTATGTAGGGCATGATGCTACGAATCCACCATTATAGAGCATGAATGAACTTGCTTTGCCAATAGTGGCATTTGATGTATCCTCCTATGATCTGGTTCCTTATGTGACCTATACTTATTATTTCTGAATTGGATGGTTCAGTCTGTGACTAGAATCCTGAAAAACCAACTGGTTCTCCTTTATAATATCCAAGCTGTAACCATTTGGTACTTACAATTAAATGTTCAAATGCTCATCTACCTTGCTGTATGAGACACAGATGAATGTAAATATACCAATTCTAAGACGTAGATGGGGTTCTTTAAAAATTTACATTTGTTTAAAAAATGATTCTAAAATCTACAGAGAAATGATAAATACAGAAAGAATTATGCCGGTATGTTACTGTGGTTGCCTCTAGGTAGTACTGATTAATGATGATCCTTATTCTCACTTTTCTATACTTTTCACGTTTTCTGTAATGAGTAGATATGCCTTGATAATCTAGGGTGGGGGGAGATAAAATACAAAACAGAATCCAAAATACTGTATGTGGAAAAACAACTAGAAGGAAAAACTGCCAAAATGCTAAATAGTAGTTATCTCCAGACGATTTGATAATGGTTGATATTTTTGTTTGTTTTTCTCACTTATTTTATACAATAAACACAAATTACTTTAATAAAAAAGCTATTAGACTTATAATACTTGCATATTAAAAGTATTAACGCTGTGTTGATTTCAACTATATTTCGTTTATCCTTCCTATCTAATCCTTCTTGTCAAACAACTTTTTTTCCAGAGTCCCTTTTATCTGCCCCAGTTCCACAGACCCCATTAACTGGAATTTTACAACCTCGACCCATTCCTGCAGGGGAAACTGTAATTGTTCCTGAAAATCTGCTGAGTAACTCAGGAGTTAGACCAGTAATCCTGATAGGTAAGGAAAGGAATTCCAAGTTGCCTGTGTCTGCTGGAATCTAGGAACAATCCTCCATTTCACTGCGTGTCTATTCATGTGTTCATGAAGGTATTCATTGATCCATCTATTAATTCTTTAAGTACTTATTGGTCAGCTCCTTCATGATATCCTAAACATGGGACTAGAAGTTGGGGATAAGGCAAAGTCTTTTTGCCCACAAGGAGCACTGTTTAGTGGGGCAGTCTAGAGGTTCACAGCCAAACTCTCCATCATCTCAGAGGTGATGTTTCAGCTGGGGAACTGAGGGGTGGATGAGAGCAGACAAGGTTGGGGAGGGCTCATTTCAGTCAAAGGGAGCCAAACGGCAGAGAAAAGGAACAAGCTGAGCCAGCAAAGAGGCCCCACTTGGGAGAACCAAGAGGCCCCAGAGCTGCAGATCTAAACCATGGGGAAGCATTTAGGAGTGAGAGCCTTTCCAAGCTCTCTATAAGTGGAGGTGTAGAAATGTAGGGGTCCCTAGATTCCATGACTAATTTAGAGCCTTTCATGCCCACATCAAGAGTGCCCTCGTCGGGGGGCTAGCCTAGGCCAGAAGAAAAAGACTGCCGGCTTAACCTTCGGGACTAAACAGGGTGTTTAAGCCCACTAGATCTTTATGGTATGTCTATGTGAGGTGTTATCTGTTTCTTGCAGTTGGCTTGAGCCAGACATGGATGGTTTCGCTTTGAGCCCTGTTCTTTATCAGACTGCCCTATCCACTGCTCCTGGACCTATAGGCACTAGGGGGAATCCCAGTTGTTTAAATTCCATATAGTCAGGAAGTTCTTACTGAACATTTGAATTGCATGCACAGTGCAACTAAGCCTTGGAAAGATACATAAAACATGAGGACCCTTTGGTGTCTGCCTTTTAGAAAGACTCACAGAGGGACTGTTCTCTTCACCATACCACCAATACAGGGTATATTTTCAACACATTTGTGTCCTATCTACTTCTAAGATGATTTAAGGCTGTTTACTGACAATTAGGAAGAGAACACAACAAAAATGGCTAAGATAGAAAAAAGAGTAAGAACCTCCCAAGTCCCTGCAACTGGAAGAATATTGCTGTTGATCAATGAATTTAGCTTAAATGTTTTAAAAGAAAACCTCAAGAAGTGACACATGTTATTGTAGCTTGTCTGTTTGTTTTCTGACTTCTTTTCTGAAAAGGAACTTGATCAGGAATTTTATCTGAAAACATTTTATTCTTGCAGTTTTACAAAGGGTACAGAGATGTTTCTGCAAACTCTCATCAGTCCTCTATGTCAGAGATATAATATTAACATGTCTCTTATATAATATAGTTTGAGTATTAATATAAGTAGAGTATTTTGCGTCCTGTTCTTCTAATTTAATGAAAGGATAGAATTTAGAATTTAGAGCATTCGCATGAATTCCCTGGGATTGATATAGTTGAGTGATTTGTTTGGTAGCCATCTCAGAGGGCAGGGAACTTTGTTAAGCATCGTTGATCCTAGTTGAGCAAATATACCTGGTTGGACCTCAAAAAGAAATGTTCAACTTTACTGACCTGCTTCTATTGGGGCAGGCTATGGCACTTTACCCTATTTCTATGGAAATGTTGGTGACATTGTTGTGAGTCCTCTGCTGGTGAATTGCTACAAGATTCCACAGTTGGAAAACAAAGATTTGGAACAGTTAGGTTTGACTGGCAGCCAACTCCTGAGTGTGGAAAACATGATTCTTCTGACAATACAGTATCTCGTGCGGCTGGGTAAGCTATTTTCAATAATCATTTGATGGCGACGATTTTTATTCTGTTTTGGAACATACTTTTTTCCTTTCTTACCCACTTTCTCACATTTATCCACCTCGTACTTTCCCCTCTTTCACGTCTAACATTCTTTTTCTTCAACCCCATTCTCTATGGCTTTTCCCTTTCCTCTCCTCCATTTCTTTCCTACTCCTTTCCTTCTCTTTCCTCTTTCTTTTTCTCCCCCTTATTTCTCTCAGATCTAGCCTCCCTTGCTGGAGGCTTTGCTTCTTTGGGTCCTAGAAGAGATAAATTGCTCCACCTGGTGTCCAGTGCCATAATGGTCCTAAAGTCTCCAAAGTAGTTGATGTAGGCAGACTGTCCAAGGGCTGTGCCATGGGTACCTCCCTTGTGAGTCAGGCCAAGCCACCTTTCTGAAAGTGCAGCTACCATCTGGAATGCAAATGTAGCCATTGTGTTAGACAATTATTTTCCAGTTTTCCACTTAGCCTTTTTATCTTGTTTATCCACTGCCCCTACACCCATTTTTTCCTTCTCCAGCTCCATCCCTTTGATGTAGTCCCAGACTGCTTCCTTTCATTGAGGTAGTAACTTGGACCTCCCTGGAAGGTTTTCTGGGCTTTAGGGTAAGGGGATACCTAGGTCATGAACCCTTCACTTCCTCTATTTGATATCTCCTCCTGAGCCCCACAGTGGGTGTATGCAGGTGCCCTGACAGTACTTTAGTGGCTCCGCAGCATTTACATTGCAATGCCCTTTATTTTGCAAACTGCAGTAGGCCATCTAATATGCAGCCTAATTATATACCTACTCCAGGACTTCAAACCACTGATTTACTTAGGAAAATGTTCAAGGTGTAAAATTACACATTAAAAATTTTATCTGCACTCTTGTGAATTTTTTTTAATGTTTTAAACTACTTTGGTGTTAAATAATAAAAAGCATGGGCCAAACAATGTTAAACACACACACACGCACACACACACAAGCTTCAGCTTCAGTCTTTGGAGCCTCAGCTAGCAATCATGGCTGCAACTCTTAGTACCCTGAGAGCCCAAAGGACTGCTTTGACATGGAATCTACTTTGACACAGGCTTTTGAAACTTGCAAGGCTTCAGGTATCTCATGAGCCACTTTCATGATAAATCTAGGACTTGCTAATCATTTTTATTAGTAAGTAGTAAAATTATAAAAATCTCCCGGGTCTGACATTTGATGTCATAATTTTAATTGATACATACTGACTTTCAACTGTGTTCCAAGATGAAAAACTAGCTTCTAGATGTATCCAGAATCAGTTATACAAGGCCACATAAAGTTATGCTATTTTAGTTAACCAAGCCTATCAGTATAGCATTTTTTAAAATCTCAATACCAATTTAAATAGTCAAAGTCCAAGTTAATTAAAGGAACTAAATGGTCAAAACAAAACCTCTCTCCTTAAATTAGTAAAAGCTCTTTTCTTAAAAAATAGAACAATCTCCACTCAATTAGACAAAACTCTTCTCTGCCCTGCAGGATCAGTTCTCTCCAGAGTTTTACTTGCAACCAATTAATTATGTTTCTCAATGTCCAACATAAATAGATATTTCTTTTTCTTAATCTAAATTTTGTACATTGAGACATCTCTTTAACTCTTCTGGAGTCCTTAATTTTTTTTTTTTTTTTTTGCCTTCAGAAGTTTTGAAGAAGGCAGCAAGAATATTTTCACATATGCTAAAGATTATAAATTGACATTTGAAAAAATAAATCCAAACTTCTAAAAGGACAGGTGTAATACTTGGATGGCTCAGTTATCTGAAAGTAACAGAGAAGAAGAAAAGCAAGATTTTTCAGAAAGAACAGACCTTTCCACTACAGTCACTTTTTAAAAAAAGTCTCTGTTATTTCACAATCTGAAAATCTTTTGAAGTAGATAATGAAATCAGCAAATCCAGAGATTCTTGGAGGACTCTGAGTCTGTTGGAAGCTTGTCTTTTCCTATTATGGTGGCTCTATCTGAAAAGCCTTCGGACCTGATGCCTGGGCTACACTGAGTTACTGGAGATAAGCATCTGAAGAAAAAAAATTACTATCTATTATCAAGCTTGTGAAAAGTGGAGAAAAGGCTCCTGCAATTTAGCTGTAAAGGCTAAGGATGCAGAAATGACGGGAGGTGATTGGAAGCAGGGCAATTTACTCCAAAAAGTTTCTTACCTCATTTAAACTTGGATACATTTTCCTCCATTTCTCAATTCCTAACAGTAATTCAGTCAAAACTCTGTAAAAGTGAGTTTTAAGGCAACCGAGAACGCTGTGAACATGTTTGATATTTTATTTTCCCAGAATGCCTTCGTATTTGGAATAAATTATGCTGCCTAACAGAAAATGTTACTCCATGGTGGTTTGGAAGGGGGCCTTATGGACACACCTATTAACCAGCCTCCTCAGATTGTCTGTGAGAGGCAGGAGGGAACTGGAGAAGTCACAGCCACATGCTTTTGAGCTGTCATTTGTTCTGATGGAAGAAAGCTTTAAGTACATGACCATCTTCCCTTCTTCTCCATGCAGTCAGTACAGATCTTGCGCTTTGAGCTCACCGCTAAGTGTGTACTCAGTGGCCACGAACCGTGGTGCTAATTTGATAAAGTTAAATGAAGATCAGAAGCTTTGGAGGCTCCCAGGTGATAATAAGGCACCCACTAGTAAGGGATTGGGGAAGGCACAGAAACATAAACACAATGTAAGCATTGCCATTTTCTTGCCCTCTTTCCATGTATAGTAGAGAAAAATCTGTGAGGACTTCACTCTCCTGCTTCCCTCTGGCTCCAACCAATCCTGGAAAAAACTGTTTTCTTCCAATTAAAATTGTTGCCTTGCATTTTTTTTACTTTCCCTGAGAAGATGAGCAGGGTCCAGGGAGGCCACTTAAACCCCTTTTAGAGGAAGGAAAGGTTTCTGACTCACTCAGGTGCCTTGTTCTCATACAGAAGTCCAGTCCCTCATCCCTGTATTTTTGCAAGGGGATTTTGGCTTTGGATTCTGAAGCTATTGCTTGATCTCAGATCATGGACACTGAGAGGGTCTATATCTGTTTCAGGCGGATGAGTTTCAAATCTCAGGTCCACACAGCAAAAGAAATGCCTTTGAGTAGCAGGAGTGAACAGTCTTGCCAGTTTCAATTTAAACTAAGTGTAGGAATTCATTTGTGTCACTTGGATGCCAGACACTGACTTGCTTATTTTGTCTTAAAAACTGGTTGAGGGACTTCCCTGGCGGCCCAGTGAGTAAGACTCTGTGCCTCCAATGCAGGGGGTGTGGATTCGATCCCTGGTAGGGAAGGTAAGATCCCACAAGCTGCGCGGCTCGGCCAAAAAAAAAAAACAACAAAAAAGACTGGTTGAGTTTCTAAAGAGAAACAAAATACTTCTAATTCCAGGGACCACAGATCACCCATGTAAGCTTAACCATAACCTCGGCCAGGGAAGAGGGCCACATGCCATTCTTAACCCAGAACCCTGGGGAATAACTAGGTGATGAGAGCATTCTCTATCTGGGGAAAGCGTGGAACTGCTTAAATATACATTGGGAGTGAAAAATAATTAAACTTAGTTTTCCTCGTGCACAGTATTCTCAAAATTAGGTATAGAGGCAATACATTAAAATGTTTTTCTAAGGCACCTATGAATGAAATGAGAAATGAGTGAAGCCTGAAGCTGATTATATACCAGTAGGTTAGCTTCTTGCTTCATTAGTTATTAACTATTTCTGTAACGCCAAGTTTAATATGTCAACAAAAATACCACCTTCAGTGACCATCTCCCAAGGCATACAATGGAATTGATACTGTCTCTGAGCACATCTTCTTTTAAAGATATCAAGAATAGAAGTCTGCATTTTAAAAAAACGTGTATCAAGGCAAACAAAAAAGAGAGAAGGTAATTTAGCAATGGAAAATGGTTAGTAGAGGCAATATACTTGAGGCCACTAGAGGAAAAAGAGCTTATTTGCCAGCTGGAATAGACTGCACTCTGATGTGTGTGTTTGTGTGTGTGTGTGTGTGTGTGTGTGTGTGTGTGTGTCTTTTCTAGCTGTGATTAAAAAAAAAAATTCTAGCTGTAATTCTCTTCAATTTAGGTCCTGATCAGATACCTCTCAGGGAAGAATTTGAGCAAATTATGCTGAAAGCTATGCAGGAATTTACTCTGAGAGAGAGAGCCCTGCAGATGGGTGGTCAGTGCACGCCTGTGTCACCAGGACAACTCCCCTGGCTGGCTAGATTAATTGCCAGTGTATCTCAAGACTTGGTTCATGTGATTGTGACCCAGAACTCCTTGGCGGAGGGCATTTCAGAGACATTGAGGACTCTCAGTGAAATGAGACACTATCAAAAACTACCAGATTATGTTGTGACAATTTGTGCGTCGAAAATAAGAGGAAATGAGTTTTGTGTGGTAGTATTAGGTGAGTAATTTTTTCATTCATTCATCATCTGTCCATTTGTATAATACTAAATGGGGTGTTTCAGGCATCCATGTAATTAATCTCTGGTCAAGGGCTCCAACTTGGGTTCTTCCTCCTAATTTTAACTATTCCTTTGCTCCTCAGATCAGATTTTTATAGCCCTTAGTTTGGCTGTTGTCCCTGTCAGCTGGTTGTGGGAGCATTATTTCAAAGCACACCCTAGTAACAGATACCCTTGTCTCATGTAACTTCTGTCCTTAAGATGTTTTGGAAATGTTACCACTCTAGCATGTGATAAAGCCATTGCCACAGGTGGTTTAAGCCAGTTAATCATATTTGCCAGGAGCTTAGCTCATATATTCACCTCTTCACTAAGAGGATATTTAATGTTATAACATTGACCCTAAAGAAAACGTTCAGAAAGTTGGTATGTTACAAAATGGATTTTTGTTTCTGGTGCTGATTTTCTATCAGGCACCGTCCTGAGTTGCCATTTGGACCAAATTTTGCTTTTCTCCTCTCAGTGAATGGCTCTCACCTCTTCCTAGCAAAGGGGCCAAGCCCTCTTGCTTTGACCAAACCCACCTGCCCATCTCTCTGTGATACATATTTCTTTCAAAAAGCTTCATCAGAAAGTGTAACACATTCATTTTCTAATTTTCATTAGTAAAAAAACAACATAAGTTTATATTTTTAAGACTGATATTCATAATAGCCATGCAGACACAACTCTTAAAGGTTTTTCACATTCCTCCCGAGTCTTTTAAATAGATGCATGGTATGTTCTCACCATTACAAACATAAAATATGTTATTTTTTTCCCTTGATCACCTAACTTTGTATTATAAACTTTTCAAATGAAATTTTGAAACTATCATTTCAAATGCTGTATAATTGCCCATCTTTTGATGTGCCATACTTTTCTTAGCCAAGTCCCTCTAGCTACATACTTTAGTTGTGTTTCCAGTTCTTGCTGTTCTAAATCACTTCCCGGTGAACATTTGTTCACTGGCATGTTATCTCCCCCTCTGTTCTGCAGGTCAGCATCAGTCCAGAGCTCTGGCAGAGAGCATGCTCACCACAAGTGAGTTTTTGAAAGAAATTAGTTATGAGCTCATCACAGGAAAGGTCAGTTTCCTGGCATCGCATTTCAAAACCACATCGTTAGGTGAGTGGCAGTCAGATTCAGCAACACTGCCGGCCCCTGGCTGCGTGATTTTCTGAATTTAAATCTTAGTGTGAGCTGAGTGTGGAGGTTAAGCTTGCCTGCTGATCTTCCCTCATTTGGAATGGTTTCTCCTAAGCATTTTGTTACTGACACAGCAAAGGGGTCCAGGCACAAGGATGTGAGGCCTCAGCTCAGCCACTGCTTTTTTGTGTGACCTTGGGCAACGCTCTGCCTCCCCAGATCTCAGTTTTCTAATATGTCCAATGGAGATATAATGACCCTGTCCTGCCTGCTCTGAGTATTATAGGGGCTGAGAGAGATTTAGTATGTGGGATCATGGAACCTGTAAGCACGATACAAACAAGGGTAGCTCTGGCTACCGAGATCCTGCTACAGGGGTGGCTGAGTGTAAATTCCGACGTGAAAAGTGGGATGACCAACAGATCTCGACGAGAGCCCAGCGTAACTGCCCAACTTGGAGACATAAACATGTCATTCCTTGTGACTTTCTTATCTCCACTTTATTTTGTAATAGGTGATGACCTAGACAAGCTGCTAGAAAAAATGCAACAGAGAAGAGGAGATAGTGTGGTGACCCCTTTCAATGGAGACCTTAATGAATGTGTGTCACCTCAGGAGGCTGCTGCTATGATTCCCACGCAGAACCTGGGTAATGTCACCACAGGCCAAAAGGAGGAAACTAGTCCTCAGGACAGACAAAGAAGCTAAGTCGTTCTGAGGGTTTTGAGGTCTTGTCTTCAAGTCACAGACTATGACAGGCCTTTCCTCATTATCTACATGATAAATCTGGCTCAAGTTAAACATGCCTTACCCTGTGGCCTGGGCCCCATGCCTTTGTTCTTAGTAAATGTCTCCTAGAATTAAAATCAAAGCCAAAGACTTTATTTTAAGCAGTGCCTCTCTTTGTTTTTGTTTTTTTGGGGGAGTGGGGATCCTTGGTGTACTTTCCTTAACTCCACCAGCTGTGCTCACCACTGTGGGTGCTCATGTAGGGCTTCAAAGAACTACTTGAAAGAATCTAGACTACAGGCTGTGCAGGGCTCCTGGCTCTCTGCTTCCTGCATCTACTCTCCAATGTGTAAAACACACATAATCTCAGGGTTAGCGAGGCCTTCCTGGCAGCTGGAGCAGAAACACTGACACATCATCTGACCTACAACGAGCTTGCAGAATGCCAAAGGGGATGGTGGGACCAGAGGTGAGGAGTTCAATCGCTAGATTAGATTCCTTTAGGTTCAAATCCTTCCCCAGTTCCCTGTTTGATAGGGACAATTATAAGAAAGGACAGAAGAGAGAACAGGAGAAGGATGGATACGAAGCAGGTCTGTACAAGTGGATGCTGACAGCCTTTTGGCTTCCACTTGATGGGAATGCATCCTTTATGCATTAGGATGACAGCAGGAAAAGTAGCATGGCTTGGCATCGGCTGAGGCGTAAAAATGAATTCAAAGGCAAAAGTTTTTGACTTCTGGACATTGCATGACAATAAAGTGATCATCCAGATGATCTAAAATGTGTTATGGGAACAAAGTTAAAATTTTGAAATTCTCAGATGCCCACGTACATATCCTTGATTCCCTGTTTAAGAAACATTGCTCAGGAATTCCCTGGTGCCCTGGGTTCAATCCCTGGTCAGGGAATTAAGATCCTGCACGCTATGTGGCCAAAAAAAGAAAGAAAAAAAAGCTTAATAATAAATAAGAGATCTTGGTGGTTAAAAAAAAAAAAAGAAAAGAAACATTGCTTAAAGATATTTTTAGGTTTCCTCCAACTTCAAAATTTGTTAAGTTCAATTCTACAAAGTTATGCCATCCCCTGTGTTAGTCCCCAACCCACAAAATGAAAGAAACAACAGCCTAACTATCCAAAGACAGATTTTTATTTTGATTGGTAATCTTTGTGGGTCAAAAACTATTTGGGCTATTATTAAAGGTTGCAGTTTGGGGCTTTCCTAGTAGGTTCTCTCAGCCAGTAGGGAGACCCACCTGCATAAATCTCCACTCACTGTCAGGGTTCCATGGTGGCTGGGGTCCCATGACTACCGTCTTTGCCTGGGAAGTATTGCAGCTTGATTTTAGAAAACATTCATTAGCACAGGTTAATTGGGCCCTTGTGTGTTCCAGTCAGACTTCCACATGTGTTCCTAATAAAAAGCAGCCCTTTCAAGAAGCAGTAAATGTTTCTGCTCAGGTGTTTAGCTGACTAAGCCTGTCTCTCATTATGTGTGTGTGTGTGCATGCACGCATGTGTAAGAGAGATTGATCGCTTGATTATAACTTGTAATAAAAAGCTACTGGCTTGTTTAGAGTATCTGGGCAATGTTTTTCTAATACGTCACCTATTGAGTAGCCAGCTGGCCATGTCATGGGTCAGGTCTCTTCAGATAGTACAGGCATCAGCATGGGAGTTGACCACAGTCACCCAGACCTGCTAGGTCACAAGCACTGGCAAAGTGGAGTCAAGTGGGAAGAAGGGTGAAGTTAGTGTCATGGGGAGGAGAATTTCAAGCCATGTTACAACTGACTTGCTGGAGAGGAAATGTTTACTGCAGTGCCATCCAGAAAAGCTCAAAGGAACTCAGCATGATTATGGTTATGGCATTAGCTCTGAACTGGGTCTGGGCTCAGGCACCTGACCTGTACTGATAGTCCTAAAGAAACTCTTCCCCTGGGCTTCCCTGGTGGCGCAGTGCTTGGGAGTCCGCCTGCCGATGCAGGAGACGCGGGTTCGTGCCCCGTTTCGGGAAGATCCCACGTGCCGCGGAGCGGCTGGGCCCGTGAGCCATGGCCGCTGGGCCTGCGCGTCCGGAGCCTGTGCTCCGCAAATGGGAGAGGCCACAACAGTGAGAGGCCCGCATAACGCAAGAAAAAAAAAAAAGAAACTCTTCCCCTTTCCAGAGATGAGTTCTGGCTCCAGCTGCAAGAGTGTGGTCTGTGCCCCCATTTCTGGGCAGGGGAGGGGTGCTGAGTTCATGCCTTGTGAGACAATTTATATTAAAATAATACATTTGTAAAACTACTACATTCACTCTTGAGCACATTCTTTCAGCCAAGTTGTCAGGGAAAGTGGGCAAATCTATTAAAAGTCAGTAGAGAGTGAGGATAGAAAGTGAGGATTCTTGGTGATAGAGCATCACTCTACCCTATGTGTATTATTTGTCCCTATATGGATTCGTAGAGGCCATCACAGAAGTGAATTAATCTTGTTCTTATGACTTTCTTAAATTTTAGATCTAGATAATGAACCCTTCCAGATTTATCAACCGCAGCTTACAGTTGCCAGAAAACTCTTGTCCCAGGTGTGTGCTATAGCAGACAGCGGCAGCCAGAGCCTGGATCTCGGCCACTTCAGCAAAGTGGACTTCATCATCATTGTCCCAAGATCAGAGGTTCTGGTCCAGCAAACTCTTCAACGGATTCGACAATCAGGTAGGATGGAACTTTCAAAGAGGGCCCTACCTAGATCCAGCCTTAGATTCCCTCTGTCTCTTTCTTTGGCTTAATCCAAACATTTTTAGGGGCCTGATTCTATTAAGTCTGTGATGTCATCAGTGGATTAGAAACTGGCCACTCATTTATGAAGAGAAATGTCCTCAAGGCAAAGATAGCCCTGCCTGGGATGACGGGGTCTGTGCCATCTGAAGTCCTTCTGTGGCTCAGTGAGTCATTCTCATAGGAGGATTCTTGTACCTTTTGCACACTACCAGCAGATTTTCAGCCTAGAAACCAAAACGCCATCCCCTGTGTCAGCAATGAGAAACCTCATTAAAAAAAAATTCAAAGTTAGAATTTCTCCTAATTTCCTTAAGAGAATAAGTAGAGAGGAAAAACTTTTTTTCCAGAAAATGTGAAAAGGTAGGGAGCAAATATTTTAGAAGTCTGTGGTAAATAACATCCCTCTCAAACATAAAAGAATTACAAGAAGCAATAAGGAATTTAGAAAATTGAGACTGCTGAAAATGCCTGCCTTTGTAAACTAGGTTTGAAAAAAATTATAAATGTCAAGTTGCTTCTGAGTACCTTAGCTGGGGGAAGACACACACACACACAGATTTTAACTGGAGGATAAATCTTTTTGCCACAGTAAAAAAATTTATTTTCAATATATTTGAAAACAGGAAGCAGAAAACTTCAGTGCAGAAGAGCTTAAAATACAGTTTATATGTTCCACACCTGTCATTCAGTGCTCCTTAAACTTTAGGGTGCATGCAGATCACTAGGGATCTTGTTAAAATGCAGATTCCCCTTCAGTAGGTCTGGGTGGGCTCCAGATTCTGCATTTCAAACAAGCTCCCAGGGGCTACCTGGGCTGCTGCTCAGAGGACCACTCTTTGATTAGCACAGCTGTACAAAAAATCTTTCGTTCTAAGTTCCATGGGCCAGATGAGATGACTAACAAAAGGCTTTTCCCTCTTTAACACCTCTTAGTGGCTGTGACTGAGACATGTAAAGTCTTTCCATGCCTCGTCGAGACCCAAGCGCCTGGTTAACAGTGCAACCTGCGTTTTAGCCTCTAAAATTTTGAATGACAAGTTACAAAATGGCCTGTTAGAAATATTGACTTATAGGTGAATTAGCCAGAGACGGTCAAATGCCTTCTCTCACAGCTCTTCCAGAAACCAGAGTGAGTTCTAGACATCCTCAGCTACTGGCCATTCGTCATTTTCTTTCCGCCCCCCTCCATTGAGGGAAATGGAGGGGCTTTCGTCACACCAGGCATTAACCAGATTTTTGCTACTTCTGTGGATTTTCCACTTTATTACTATGGAGGGAGCACCTTCTCTTGTAGGTTTTTTACTTGTACCAAAGGGCATTTGTGGCCTTCCTGAGTTTGTGATCTGATATCCCAGTCATACTCCAGCCAAGTCATCTTAGCACCTGTTTCAAAGCGTGAAATCATCCATGGTCAAGTGGTTGTACTCTCCCCAGAGCCTTTTCCTCAAATAACCTCTTGATGACCTGTATTTTCGCCGTTCTTAATCAATGCAAGACCCTAAATAAAACCCTGCATTTTTGACAGATAGAGAAACTCTATTGGTCCTTCCTTTTCCCTTCTCAACGCCCTCAGATTTTTCCAAAGTGAGTATTTTGAGATTATCATTCCTCAGAAAGGACTGGTATTTGACTAGTTACATAAGCTTAGAATCCAAGAAAATCAGTGTTACAGAGAGATTCAGAAAATTCAAGGCAAAGCATATTTTTAAAATTATTCACATCTGGCCTTGGCATACATACTGAAAATTTTTGCTGCAGAAACAATCACTTCTATATATTTTTAAATAACTGTATTCATTTTTATTATACAAAAAACCAGAGTTGTGGTTTTCTTTATTTTGAAAAATAAAAGAAAGTAGGAAATTTTAAACACTTATAATCCCACCACTCAAGGATAATCACTGTTAAAATGACTTAATACCTAGTGTTCCAGGCTCTCTTCTCTGCCTATGTCTGATATTATAGTAGGCACATTTTTCCACATCATTAAGCTTTTATAAGCATCATTCGTAATGAATGTATATGATATTCCATATCATAACAACACCAAAATTTATTTGCTTTTTTTATTTGAATACCTTTGTATTTTTGGAACACATCACAGTTGATAGAACCCGAAGGACCAGAAGCATTTTAAGGTGTAAAGAGATTGTCCAGAGCAGAGATTCTCCACTAAAACAACTCTTGAAAGTCATTGCTATAAAAACACAGAGGATTCTCAAGAAGTCATCTGACTCAGTTTCCTCATATTTTGCCATGTGAATCAAGGAGAGCTACATTTGCCTAAGGTCCAGAGGGCAGTGCTTTGGGGGCAAGGACTTTTTTCTCATCTCTGTGTGCCTGGTGCCTCATTTCTGCCTCTCCTGGGCCTGGCACCAGTAGGGGCTCAACTACGGGTTCGGGTTCGAAGGGAGAGCTGGGGCTGGAGGGAGGAAGGGGAGGGATGGGCAGAGGGAACACCAGTGTCCAAGTGCTTTGCTCTCTGGTTCCATTTGCCTTTCCCTAAAGGAAGCATTTCAGCAGCCAGCCTGCCAGGAAAAGCACCAGGCAGGGAGAAGCAGCCAGGACATGCAGAAAGGCCACATCCTTGGCAGCCCTTGTGTGGCTGAAAGAAAAAGGTGAAAATAGAAACCATCACGTTGTTGCAGACTCAGCACTAAGGTGAAGCATTTGGTACCTTAACTTACTTTCTAACTAAGGAAGGGAGGCAGGGAGGAAAGAAGACAAAAGGAAACATTACAGAAAGAATTGGAAGGTAAAAAAAAAGAAATGAAATGGGTTAAACATTTTTAAGTTTGCCCCAGATGGACTTGTAAATGCTGCAGTGATCAGTGGAAAAGCAACATAAGGAATTTTTAGACCATAGGAAATTCTTTTGTTTTAGTGTCATTTTTTTTACAGACTGATGTTGTAGCATAGTTCTTCTAATTCAAGAAGCTCCAAATTCTATAAATTAGAATACTAGGTTATCAAAATGCGATCAAAATGCAAGCCACTTTCAACTCCACATGAGTAGGATGAAAACAGGAAGGATTAGTGACACCATATTTTCCTCCTCCCTGCTTTTAAAATGGTATCCGTGGGAGCCCCCAGCAAATGGGAGCAGATCTACGAGTATCCAGTCAAGGAAGTTTTATCATGCTCAGGGGAATGACATAAATTTGACACCTCAATACATGCCTGATCATAAAAGAACCAGAGAGACAGTTTCGTCTGCTGATACGTAGATAGGTTTTAAGGCAGTGGGAGAGATTAGGAGGGGAGCAGAAGAGATAAAGGAAGGCGATTTCACTTTCTGAAATGTATTTTCTTGGTCTCATCAACCTTATATCTCCTTGTTAGTCAGCAGAAAATGTAAGCAGAAAAAAGGAAGTGAGAAAGGCAGCAGGGAGTGGGATCCCAGGGAAGAAAGTACTAGGAAAGCACTCTGCCCTGAGGTGGAGTAGGGAAACACCAGAGATTCCTCTGTACAAATAGAACTGAACAAGTACCTAACGTTAGCATCCGTGAAGTCAGTTTCCAACCAAGTCGTAGCTGCCCAGTGCCCACCCCTAGTTTATAGACAGCGTTGGCACCTGCCTCACAGCCATCACCTCCCCTCCAAGTGGACGACCCCACCGAATCCTAGCTTCTCTGCATTAAGCTCTCATCCGCAAACACCTTTACCTCTACCGCTCATCAGGTGCCTGCCCCCTAGTCATATCCCAGACGCTCCTGGATCCTGGAATTGTAAATTCTAACAACCCCAATACCAGACCACAGACTTCTTTGCAACATACACTGTGTGGGGAAAAAAAATCAGCCTTTCCGATTGGTGCCTCATAAATTCTCTCTGGTTCTTTAGTTGGGTCTCTCTCCCGCTCTCCACAGTGACTGGCTCTTGCAGACTCCGTTTCACTCACAGTTCTCACCTCATCCTTCTCTTAGCAAAGGACCATGCCGCTTGTTTCTCCCCTCTTCCACCCCCAGAGGAAGAAAACTTCAGATAAAAACTTCCTTCCAAATCTGGAAACCTACCTGCATATACACCCGTCATTCCCCCTTCCTTCCATATCAGTGAAGAGCTGCCCTGCTCTATGTAAGCCTGCTTCTCCCACCTTGCTCTGGAGGCCGTGATCTCCTCATTCTCATGGACCTCACACTCTGATGATCTCCTCTCTCATTGTCACCTTCCATTTCCTTCCCTCCTGGAGTTCATTCCATCAGTTTTAACCTGGCCCACTCTCTCAGAGACAAAACAAGCAAGCCTCTGTTAATCCTACCTAACCCTCCAGTTTATCCTCCTCGACTTAAGTGACAAACTTACTGAGAGAGTTGTCTGTTGTCATCTTCATTTCCTCATCTCCCAGTTACTCAACACCCTGCAAACTGGCCTCCACGCCCCACTGCCACGCTTCTAGGGCTCTCACCAATGTCACCAATGATCTTTTCTGTCCTTATCTGGACTCCTGACAGCACAGGTGCCCTCCATTCCTTCCTTCAAGCACTGCAGTGCCTTTGGCTTCCAAGACACATCCTTTCCCAGCCTGCCTTCTACAAGTCATGCTCCAGTGCTACTCTGTACCCTGTGGTGCTCCAGCCTGACACTCAAGACTGTGTAGTGGCTGTGTGTTTATTGATGATCTTTCTCTTCAGCTAGAAAGCAAATATTCAGGGTATAGGTCTGTCTTGTCTATGGCACAGGAGACACTTAACAAATGTGTTGAACTGAAGTTTTGTAACGTTCTGTTGAATTTTAAGTTAAAATCTATTTTAAGAGGAAGACATAGGGAATTCCCTGGCGGTCCAGTGGTTAGGACTTGGTGCCTTCACTGCCGTGGCCTGGGTTCAATCCCTGTTTGGGGAACTAAGATCCCACAAGCCATGTGGCACAGCTGAAATAAATAAATAAATAAGAGGAAGACATAGAAGTAATTAATATTTAAGATGTGGCA